AAAAAAAAAAAAAGATTGAAACACCCAAAGGGTACTTTAGGAACATTTTAAATCTTGAACGTAATTCTAATTCAGTGGCACAGCTGTTGTTTGATGAAAGACCCATCATGCAGGTCAGCCATTTTAAAGACATCTCTGTAAGAAGTTTCTTGTTTAAGTATATCCACATTGTAGTAAACCTTAAGCTTCCTTGTTATTTTGCTGTCTCTTGGGAGCCTGTATTCAAACTACTCACGTGAGGCTTTTTTCATTCTCTTTTTTATGCTGGCGGACCTGGTTCCAGGAATGGAGGAACGTAGGAGTCGAGCAGCTGCGCCTCAGCACAGTAGACATGACTGGAGTCCCAACCTTGGCTAACCTCCAGAAAGGAGTCCAGTTCGCCCTCAAGTACCAGGCGCTGGGCCAGTCTGTCTACGTGCATTGTAAGGCTGGGCGCTCCAGAAGTGCCACTATGGTGGCAGCATATCTGATTCAGGTAGGAAAGGTCTTTCTGGACTGGTCTATTCATAGCATATTTCTAGAACTTCAGTAGCGTGGTCTCCTGGAAGGCCTTGCTGGAAGGAGCCATGTCCCCAATTTCTGGCTATTGGGAGGTGGAAAGCGCCTGAAGTTTGCAGATAGGCTGACCTCTGGCTTTGCCACCTAACAGCTGTGTGACCTTAGGCAAAAGTGGCTTCCCCTCTCTGATCCTCAAACTAAATGTGTCATGAAGCTTGAATGAGAAAGTATGTCAAGCACTGACCTACCTACAACAGGCACTCCAAAAATGAAGTTGCAAAGGATGTTAAACACCAGTAAAAGACTAAAATAAAAGCACTTTTTATAAATAGCACGTCAGGAAATCTAGTACTGTAGACAGTAGTGCTGGTCACTTAACAGCTCTGTGGGACTCAAGATTTCTTGAAGTATTTCAGAATAAAGTTCCAGACATTAGCTTCTAGAAACAGAGGATCCAATGGAATTTTGTCTATCACTTTATGATTGGCAGGTGTGAGGCTTTTAAGACTATGTATAAGCAAATACTCTCTAGTCCATTACTCCCTGTTACACAACTCCCAACTTGACTCATTTTTTGTTACCTGTCTGGCCCCTGTAGAACATTTACTAAGTTATGTGGATAGTTTAAGGAAAAAGGAAATGTGGAGATAACAGGCCTGGCTTTGAGTTACTGTGGACTGGTATGTGATTTAACAGTATTAAAGCTCTGATCATTAGGACTCTATTTACTGAAAATGGGTTCTCAGGAGGATATTTTGGACTTTGTGAGAATTGACCCAGCTGGGCTTGAAATCTGTAGTTTCTTGGTTTTGTAGAGTTCTAAACCAATAGGTATCCTTAGGATACAAAGATAACCCTCTTACTTAAATCTAAAAAGTGCTGTTTTCCTAGCCATGATGACAAGTTGAATAAAAACATCTACCATATACTCTCTCCAGGAAACATAACCAACTGCCCGCAGCTCCCAGAGGACATCTAATAGGCCTTCGCAGGCTTGAATTAGGGTCTCAGCTTTGCATGTTCAACTTTCTTTTTCCAGGGTTTGGCATAGCAAGAATTAGGTAGAAAGACTGACTTGTCCGCTCAGCCTATTGCAAAGTATTGTGGGACTGGTTGACTGAGGGGGTTATAGTACCCCCCCATTTATAATATATGGGGCATGTTTTTTAATGCCCCCCCCCCCAAAATGAAGTTTTTAAAATAATGAAATTCTGAGAGTCCATTAGCACCTGTTATTAGGTCAAGGACACCTTAACACCTCCTTTCTTTCTCTGATTTCCCAATCCTGTACTTCAGGTGTACAACTGGAGTCCAGAGGAGGCTATAAGAGCCATCACCAAGATCCGGTCACACATCCACATCAGATCTGGCCAGTTGGAAGTTCTCAAAGAGTTCCACAAGGAGATTACTGCAGGGGCAGCAAAGGATAAGACTGGTCACACATCACAGACGTGAAATACACAGATTAGAAAGAACTCAAGACAACCCTGCTTGCTATAGAATCAAATAGTTTTAACAGGACCAAGGGGGATTAAGCCCAGACTTGACATAGCAGAAATGTGCTGAGTAATGGATAATTTTGCTCCTTTTGTCTTGTTTCACTTTCCTGAAGTAACACTGTTGTATGCCTAGAGAGATTTAGTGTGGCTTCAATTCACTGGCTACGGGGATATGGGATGAGGGTCCTTGTTTTCTCGAAGAGGGTCAAAGAAATCTATTGTGTACTGACGCTGTGCCTAATGATATTTAGCACGACTCAAAAACATTTAACACTGGGAAAAGAGGAGAAATACTCAGCTCAGACTCTTTGCCACTGTCAGACCCCAATTCACGGGCCCCATGGGGCTCTCCTCCCCTTTTGGAGCAGTGATCCTGTATGTAGAAAAGGAAGTACAGGATCTAGTCAGTATTGTGGCAAGTATGTAATCCATTTACCTTAGGGAATCACTCCTTCAGAATTCAAAACAGACACACATATCCCTTCCAAAACTTTTATTTGTATGAACACTTCCTAGCTCTTGGCTTACCTTAGTGCTTTTAAAAGAGTAAAGACCTTATATATTTAAATTTGAAAAAAGTTTCTGCTATTAATCAGAAATAATACTTTCTACTTCTTTCTGGGTTACTCCTTGGAGTAAGCCAGAAATAAAACCAAACTGTTGGGCGCCTGGGTGGCTCAGTCAGTCAAGCACCCGCCTTCGGCTCAGGTCATGATCCCAGAGTCCTGGGATCAAGTCCCGCATCAGACTCCCTGCTCCTCGGGGAGTCTGCTTCTCCCTCTGCCCCTCCCCC